AAGCACTCTTCTGCCACATCAATTGATATAGAAAAGCTTTACCTGCGGCAACTTCATTTTTGAAGTTTTCGTGATTTACCAGCGACGCAATAGCAGCCGCAGCCTTTGCCTTACATGAGGTAGACATCATGGGAAAAAATATGTTCGATAGAAGACGGGATGGAGAAAGCGAGGAAAAACTGCAGAGTTCTGCAATAGAAAAACATTGAGATCGCAGCGCGATGACTTGAAGGGCAAGGGGCTGTGCATAACCTACGTTCGATGAGGGAAACAGCATCGCTTCTGAACCGAGCTATAGGCATTTCCTCAGCCATTCGTTGTACAGCAAAATACAAGCCGCTGAGAGCATCAGTTGGAAGAAGGGCAGCGCGTAGCTCATTAGGCATGTAGCTGATGCTCTGCAAACTGCAACTGAAAGGTGTGCGAAATTACAAAAATTCCAACCTGTGTACCTGTATTGCCAATGTCCTTTTCTGCAAAGGCAAATTCTCCAACAGCGCTCCAAGAAACTCTTCAGCTCCATAATCAACGGAAGAAAAGAAAAATTGTGTAGTGATTTGGAGAGCAAGCTGCGGAAAAATCATCTGATCAGAAAAAGAGACACACAACAACTTACCTGTAGCACATCCTCCGCATCTCGCACTGAATGCAGCCAGCTCTGTGCCGCTTCTTTTATTTGGTACTTACCAACATATTTAGCCACACAGCTGTCACGGTCTGGGATGCTGAGCTTGGAGAGAAAACGGGGAATGAACTAAACTTAAAGACATGATTGCGCGCGCATGACTCACTACCATAAAAGGATAGCCAGATAATGACTGATATTACTAGCTAGCTATGGAACGATGTAGACTCACTAACCGAAAAAGTCAATCGCAATGGTCGAATATCGATACAGCGTGCCATTGATGGGAGACTCTCCATGATGCTGAAATGACAAGCTCAATGTAAGATAACGTGAAAAAAGATGGCATATCATTAACATATAGCTTCAAACTAACTACATTCTAGAATGTCAATTACTATAATGACAATAAAGCTCATCTATACTTCATTTTTGATTTAAAAAAAAAAGATGTCCAGCACAGACTCAAAGATGAGTTTGACGTTAATCTGAGGCATGAAGACTATACCCACCAGTC